AACGATTCAGTAATCTATCCGAAAACCCCAGTTAAATGAACAGTTTTTGCTAATTCAGTATACATTTTGGTATGTTTTACTTAATGTTTCGCGATATAGAATGTTACTTTCTATATTTTCATTTCAAATATATCTGGTAAAAAAGTGTGAAATTGCGTCAATTGTGATTATGCAAAAATACTGACAGATGAACAAGATTCCTATCCATGACCAAAAAATATATCAAAATAAATGAGCTAATTTATACATTAACTAAGAAAAATGAAATTTCGAACCAGTTATGGAAGTCATCGTAGAAGCGCTAAAAGATGACGTAATATTACGTTTCGAGTTGGTTATTTTGCCATTTAATACACCAGAAGTCGTAGCAGGAACAATCATGACAGCATCGTCATCACTGTCATCAGATGAATCGGCTTGCTCGAGTCTAGCATTTCGTCGTGATGTTTCTAATCTGGAAATATCAAAAGCATGTCAAGTTTTAGATTTCAACAGATTTCAACAAAAATTACTCAGAATAAAACTAGATTAATATTCGATTTCCACTAGCTCTCACTTAGATAACTCGTCGCAGCATTAACAGTGATAGTAGTGAAATGAGTGAAAAAAAACATTTCCATATGCTGACTAATTGGTATTGACTATAGCAAATACTAGGAAGCTAATCACTAAAGAAATTTAATCACTAGAACGGCCCAACTAATTATTTTATAGAGTAGTTCTAAGCACATTTAAGCCTGAATTAGTTACAGTGTTGCAGCTATTGAAATGTCACAGGAACACGACATTGAACTCTGCAATGATTTATTTAGCATTACCTAATTCGAGTTGCTTCACGCTCTTCAGCTCGCTTTTTAGCTCGATAATTCTCCAATTCAATTCCTTCTAAACGGATTCTTCGTTTCACCTCTAAAGTTAAATTACGATTTATGGTACCGTTGGGATTTTCTGCTGCTTGTTCAGCCATTCGTATTAATCGTGCACCGAGAGTGCGATCACCAGAGCGTCCTGCAAATTACATAGGCTTTTTTCTTATCGATGACGATAATTTCAATCTTTTAATAAAAATTTTGAAAACAAATAACGGTTTGCCATTTTCTCTAAAACTAGAAAGCCTTACCAGTAACAATAACAGAATTTTTTATATCTGTACACCACTCTAAGAATAACTCTCTGGAAAAGCCACTTTCCATATCCAGTCCACTGACAAGTACAACCTAAAATATAGGGATTAGCATGCCATAAAAAAATAAACTTGATTGTAAGTTTTCTTTTTCCGAAGGGACACTTTACTATGATATGATATATGATATACATTATAATATACATTTTAATGAACTTCCAGTTTTAAAAAGAGTGAGTAGAAGTAGTAGAAGTAGAAACTTGTAAAAGTCCATAAATCATCAAGAAAGTAATTTGAAAATGTCAGAAGGAAGCAAAAAATCAGAAACCTTTGGACTCCGTACTCGCATCAAATCTATATGAGTGTGACAAAGCTGCACATGTCGAAACTGGAATGGATTGTAGCGACCAACTTCAAAGGATTTTAGCACTTTATCAGACATCCACTCCACTTGTGATTTTGCAAACTCAACCACTGATGAAGCGACATGACTTAGCATAACCAAATTATATGTCATCAAGCCAGCCTCTGCGCTTAAAATCAAAAGAACGGTTAACATTTAATTTTTACAAAATTACCCATGTTAATCATCTCATTAAATGTTTTAAAGTCAAACAATCATTATGACTTCAGAAGGAAGAAATTCATAGAAATCCATACAAACAAAAAGAAACGGATTAAAGAAGATCGAAGAGCTACAATAAATACATGGTTTTGAAAAAAAGAATTTCTCTCCTTTCTATTTAAAGCGATAGGATAAATCATTTCATCAGCGGGAAAAAACCTTAACAATCTAAATGAGAAAAATTAAGTTGAAATCTGAATCTCTACAAATTTCGGAATACGCGACGAAAATACAGAACCATGAAATAAATTCTCCTGTAGCAACAAAACTTACTTATGCCATAATTGATCAAGTAAGTGTGCTATTTCCAGTACTCTTCCTGCTGTATCGATCACAATCATCACATCACCACCATCCCTTACAGTACCCAAAAGCCTGGTTACCAATTGTTCATCTCGTTGTTTTCGACGTGGCTGATTGTACAGTGCGTTGAAACTATCAGTGATCAGCAGATTTGGTCGCCCAATACCTATAGTTAGTCCATTATTTATTTGAATCAAGATTTGGCAAAATATTTTTAACAAATACCTTCAAATGTACAACCATTTAAATGCCGTTCTTTTCTGTGATTGAAATCAACTGCATAGACAATCTCCTCATCACCCATTTTTGTGATCCGCCATATTGCGCCGCCAATCATATGTCCGGCTGGTAGTGGTGTTATTTGAAGGCCATTATCTCCTTTCAATAAAATCTGAAAAAGTGCCTTAAACCTGTAAAAAAACTGTTAGATTATATTTTGGCTGATATAATATCCACATCATTTCCATTTCTATCCAACTTATAATTAAATAGCTATCTTTCTTTTCGTTACGGTAGAAATTAATATGGAGAAAGATAATTGGAAGCTCAAAAATTAAGTATGACTGCATCGTATGATTACATCTCAGTGATATAAACAAGAGATTGTCATGCTTGAAGTTGGTGATATTAGTAAAGATGTTTTAATAAATAAACCGTTTGACTATATTTCACTTGTTGCACTCGTTCAAACGCTGCATCAATATCGTCCAAATTGAACAAGTTGAAATCTTCGACGCTAGTATGGCTATTAACCCAATCATAGAGAAACATTTGTCCCATTTTATACACAGGAACCTGAAATCGCAAATTGTTTTAGTTAGAAAAATTTGGAGGAATCTCGGAAATCCAGACTGATGTGACAATTTACCTTCCGCCAGGAATTTAAAAAAAAGCATCATTAATTATGCAAATTTTACAGGCATCCTACATTCAGTTTGCAAAATATAATTTAAGTATCAATTCCTCTGAACTGATCTTGAAAAATTTTTCATGTTTACTAATCAAACATACTTTTCGTCCCTATTTTTTTAACTATGGCTTGGAACAAGGTGACTGATTACAATAATATTGTAACAAATCCTCTTTTGTTAAATATTAATCAGTGCTGCCACACATTCATGATGCTATGACTTCAAATAGCTAAAAAAAAACTAAATGCAATTTTCAAATTGAATCACCTACAAAACCTGCGACATATGTTCATGAACTAATGTACAGTGAACTTTCCAAAGCAAATACAACTGAAAACGTTAATCTTCTAATAAATAAAAAGTTACCAGTAAATTAACAATTTAAAGGGAAAAATTATTCAATCAATATAAAATAGACTTACAATTTAAAATAGTTTTTAAGCTCAGTGAGGAGACAAATTACGCAAAAGATCAACAAATTAGAGGCACAATTTTAAAGGATTATTACTGTCCATTAGTGAATTTTACTTATAATTACAAAATATTCGGAAGACGAGCATTATGATGAAGCGACAAAGTATCACATTCACAGAGTAATAAATGTCGCTTCGATTTTGAAATTTAATCGATAAATGCCCAAAAAAAGATGAATTACTCGGGAAGTTCCCGAAAGTAAACTAATGAAAGTATAAAGTGAACTTACCGTGGCATAAATGGGACAATTCAGGCCACATTTTCGGACAAGGTAAGGTAAAGCACCTAGATGTGGTATATCAGCATATGATAATAAGACAGCGTTGATAAGAGGAACACGCCTTTTGACAGCTTCTATGTATGCCATATCAAATCGTTCATCCCAACCACAATCCAATAAGAAATAAACCTGATCAACCTGAAATACAATAATTAAAATGAGTAGTAACCGAATAAGAAAAAAAATGAAAGAATAATATAATTATCGCTTGTCAGCTAAATTGAACAATAATTCTTGGTAAAGATCACATTAAAAGAGCTGTAGCTCTAAATTTCACATACATGAACAATTCATGTCGTTACAGTGCAAACAAAAAACATTTACATCCAGTTTCCCTTATTTTATTCACTTTGTTCATTGAATTTGACTAAATCACTTACTTGTAAAAGGTAGCATAATGGTCCATCATCCTGCACACCTGATAAGGCTTCCAATTTGATTATTGAGGTCATTAAATCTGAAAAAATTTTCATCCATTACATTAAAATTAAAATCAAAAATTATGAAAAGCGTAAACATTTGACGTATGTAATAGTATGATTTACCCATTCATTTTTTAATGTAACTTCTGAAATTCTTCTGAGCTCTTTACTTATTTTAAAAAGTGATAATAGTCTAATCAAAATATGGATAATTTAAAACACTGTTCGCATTGAAAAAAAGAAATAGGAACTGATAATAAATCAAATAAGTATTTATAACTATAATTGATCTTATTAAAAAAAATGCATGTAATCTGCATTATCTGATAAATAAATAACAATTTATACTGAAGGAGAGAATTAAACTGGCTGAGAGATATGTCAAACGATACGAAATTCATGGCATTAACAACAACTGGAAAGATAAAAATTTTAAAGTTAAAATAATTTATTGGAAGTGAGACAACGTTCTTGATAAGAAGTATGAAAGACGGACGATATCACAGCTGAAAAATAAAAAACCAAAATGCCAACTGATAATTTTGAATTTCATTTATTCATTAAAATCATACTTATGTCACAAACCATACGTATCATCGTTACCTAACTGCTATCGTATCGTCTGTTTATGGATGAGACGGGAGAGGGTGGAAGGCAATTTCAGTAAGGCGGTTTAACGTGGCAAGTTCGAAATGACAATAAAAAAGCATGAAGTTGAATACATTCGAATTCGTGCAATTGCATAAACTGATGTGACGTGCTTTACCTTATTATGCCATTGAACAGTGAATATGCAGATTTGATATTTCTGTATAAGAAAGCTTCCGGAGAGTTAGTTGGACGTACATATATTAGTTGTAGAATGACTCGTCATGGTAAAAATGCTACGGCATCAGCGGTATATTCATATTCAGAAAGACGAAAAGATGCTAAAGAATCTGGTTATGGTACTTTGCATCAAAGATTAGGTGCTGATTCAGTTAAAGAATTCGATTGTTGTTCAATCACTTTGCAACCTTGCCGGTAATATCTTTTTTTTTTAAGTAGGTGAGAAATTTATTAATTTTCTAGCTCATTATGTTCTGTGAGATATTGTTGGTATGGATCATTGTATGAAATCTTCATGATATTTGTCTTTTTGTGTATTTCAGTCTTTTTATCTGTTGGATGTGTACATTTTCTAGATTTCTATGAGGTTTCTCAGAAACACAGGCATTTTATTTTAAAGGATAAGGATAAGGATAAGAACCGTTATAAGGGATAAGTTATGTTTACTAAATAATTTCAAAATAGCAGGTTGGCTGCAGCAATTGGATGTCGATGGTGTGTTCGACATGCGGTTGTCGGGACAAGCTTTTTATTAGGAATATAATAGAAGCCATTTAGTAAATCAATTAATAGCCATAAATCAATAAATCAATTAGTAAAATCATATATTAGATGTGGCTATGTTATCATTTTGCAAAGTTTTGCATATTTTTCGTAATAGATATTAATACATTCATCATTTTGTCAATTATAGTAATCCGGTAATATCACCGTATGGATACATTTTCGACAGGGAGGTTGTTTTGGAATATTATCTGGAACAAAAGAAAGAAAATGCACGAAAATTAAAGGAATGGGAGAAACAATGTAAAAAGGAAGAGGAGGAAGCAGAAAGAGTACGTTTTGGTTTTCATGATAAAATTGCTTTGAACATTGTTTGGTTAGAATTAACCAGCGTTACGATTTACAGGAAAAACATTTGGATGAAGAACTAAAATTGAAGAAATTCAAAGAAATAGAAGGTACACCAGCCCATCCAGGAGTAAAACGAGATGTGGGCGCTGATTGGCCTACCACTTCTGCTGGTGCTACCCCTTCTGGATCGAGGGTATGTCACTTAGATGATTTGATTGTGGTTTGTTTCTTCTTGCAATTGATAAGGGCTGATTTTTTGGAGAATTTCAGATTAACAAACGTAAAATACTTGGAAGCGATCGATCGAATGGCAAACGATTGAAAGAAGATGAGATTTCAAATGTAGCAGGCGAGAAAGCAAAAGAATATCCGAGTTTTTGGATTCCACAGTTAAATACTGCTGTGGAAGTCAAAGTTGAAAAACCGGCAAGCTTGATTTTACGACTTAGATCTTATTTGTTCCAAATATAAATGAAAGAAAAAATAGACTAACTTCGTCTTCTGCAAACGGAAGAGAAGACGAAGTTACTCTATCAACTCTATTAATTGTAGAAAAAAATGTCACGCATACATGATGAAAACAACAGTATAGAAAGTTAACAGGATTGCAATAATTTCTTTATCTTTGATATACAATATCTCTTCGACGCATAGAAATAATGTTAGAAAGAGATATCAATTGCGGTAGATTTGGTTTTTCAGGAACAACGTGTTTTTTGTCCGCTTTCCGGCAAACCTCTAAAAATTAAAGAATTAATGCCGGTAAAATTTACCGTTATGCCTGATGATAACGGTAATAAGAGTTTGATAGCTCGGACGGTGCGATATATGTGTCCTGTAACGCATGATGCACTTACTAATACAACCCGATGCGCATACTTGAAGACAAGGTAATTATCAAAGCCCCGGTGGCTCGATAGTCTTATTTGAAATCTGATTACAGCATTGGTTCATTTTTAACATTTGGGGATTTTTTTTGATGTTACCCTGACAGTTCTTTTCTAAATGCGAATTGCCGTCTTTTTCAGAGGGATTGTCGGGAAGGTATTTGATAAAGACCTCAGTGAAGTGAAATTTTGCGTGTGAAAATTTTCAACAAAAAAATTTTATTCATTAGACGGATCTCAAAATGTTGTGGTTGTCTAATGCTTTACTTGACTGATACATGTTAGAAGTACTTTATTACAGTCAGAGTGTTGTTACGATGGATTGTGTTGAGAAAATAATTAGGAAAGATATGATAGATCCATTGAATGGCAAGCCTATGAAGAATGACGATATAATCGAATTACAGAGAGGTGGTACAGGTAAGAAATTGCTTAGTTACTATTTCCATATGAATTAAAGTTGAAATCTGTAGAGGACGGATATTTGCCGAGCAAAAGAGTGGGACTACTGAAGATATCTAAGGAGGAAAATATGGTTTTTGGGGAAAGCATGGTTGGTGTAAGTATTAAAGTAAGAAGGATTTTAAATAATAAACCAAGAACCTAGAATAGCTATGATGAAATGCCAGTAGTGTAAATAGTAATACACCAAGAATCTTGAGGAAAAGGAATTGGAGGAGCGAGAGAATGTTTCACTGGACTTTGATAAGTAGAATTTCAAAAATTTTCATATTTTTAGGATTTGCCTCGACCAATGCGGTGGAAGCCAAGTTGGTACGACCTCAGCTGGAGTTGCAATGATATTAAGTTTTTGCTGATTTTATTAGATGATGGGTTAACATGTTGGAAGATATTCTAGAATTGTAATTGTATAGGATTCATGTGACTTCCATTTGCTATTAATGAGTTATGAATTTTGTTCATTTTCCACTGAAAACTTCCTTTGATGGAGTAAGTAAATTTTTAGAAGGTTAGGAAGAAAGTATTATGCTATGTATGTTATATGCGATCTACTAAAATGAAGTTTCGGAACCTTCTGATCTTTCGATTTTTTTCCAATACAATGCTTAGAAAGGCAGTGTAATATACTTTTTGTTTTTTAATATCAATATTAAATTTAATTTTAACCATCCTTTCTTTTTCTTGCTTGCGCATATTAGATCAGCGCTCTAGTTTTCCATATTTTCTTTATTTAAGTAATAATATTTGACAAATTATCTCAAATGTATTAATTTGTGTTTTTTTATTTTTGACTTTATTCATTATTTTACCCTTATGTCAGTGCTTGAGATTGATAAAGGCTTCAATTTAAAAAAATCCTCAAGTCATTTTCATGTAAAGTTAGTGAGTAACTTGCTTAATGGCGTACTCTGAGAATATATTTAATATTCAATTAGTCAAATTAATATTTCGATTCGACATGTAAAGTCAGATGCAGTGCTGTTTTAATTCGATACTAAACCAGTGGTGATATATTAGCCATCATAAAGTTGATTCTTGAGAATTAAATTTGGCAGAGGAGATTTCTATTCAAAAGTTACTCCAACATTAACAAGTCCAAATTTCAAGATCTTAATCCTGAAAATTGGAATTGTTTTTGCTTGTGTAGATGGTGTGTGATTTCGAGCTTCAGTAGGACGAAATAAATTAGATAAAAAGCGGTTTTCAGTTGTAGGTTCAGAGATCTTTAAGAATAGAATTTTAAGTGAAATACTAAATATTCATAGTAACTGATAATCGAGCTTTGTAGATGACGGATGTTATGCAAAATAATGATGGATTCAAAAGGCCGTCGATACCTTTGGCTATTGTTGGTAAGTTTCTTCGATTGAATTTTTCGTAATGACTTTGAACTTGATTCGATTGATAATATTTACTGGTATGCTATCCTATACATATGAATTACTTTTGTTCTATTTAGTATTTCTTGTTGTTAGAGTTGAAAAACTCCAGAAGATAGTTTAATTATAAAAGAAACCGCAAGGAAAAGTGAAATACATCTCTAGAAGTGATTTGAATAATCCATTTTCTATAAACTTAAGGACCGAAAAAGCCACGCTTAGAAGTTATTTCGAGTGGACGACCACAATCCATCCCACGTACATCACACTTGATGGCACCTATAATGCTACTTACTGGTCATGATGGTGAAATTTATACGGCTAAGTTTAGCCCGGATGGGAGTTGTTTGGCATCAGCTGGTTTTGACATGATTGTTTGTAAGTTTTCTCTGTTTGTTTTACTTTTAAATCTTTGTACTTATTTCGAATGCCGTATCTCTCATTTGTTTAAACATTAGTGTTATTTCCAGCTAAAAGTAGTCATATTTAGACGTCCTGTTGATATCTTCGGCATATGTTCCTATTCTCTTATTATAAAATCAGTAAGAATTAGCATTACTTGATTCAATAAAACTTAGCATTTCTAAAAAAAAAAAGAAAAAATATAAAAGGAAAAAAAAGTTCTTCTAAGATCAAAACGTTTTTTCATTATGCTTTTTGATCAGGTTTTCATATTTAAATGCCGATTTTAGTTTTATGGAATGTGTATGGTGAATGTGAAAATTTTTCAACCTTAAAAGGGCATGCAGGTGCAATAATGGATCTTCATTTCAGTACTGATGCAAGGTAAGTAATATCTTTTTATGGAAAGAAAGAAAAAACTTTGAGGAAAAGTTTAATATGATTTATCCGAGATACATCTTTTATCCGTTTGTCGGAATTACCGACCAGAAATGCTGAAGGAAGTTTTGGCATTCAATTTATCTGGTACGATACTACTCAAGATTCGTCTTTTTCAGTTACCTGTTTACGGCATCAACAGATAAGACAGTACGTGTTTGGGATATGGATACAGGAACATGTGTTAGAAAGTTCAAATCCCATAAGGATATTGTAAACAGTTGCCATCCTGCACGGCGTGGGCCACAACTTGTTGCTAGTGGTTCCGATGATTGTACTGTACTTGTAAGTTTTACTGTAAACATAAATAATGAGGTGAAATGCCTTGGTCAGTATTTCGAAAGTATTTATGTTACTCTTTTAGAAGATAAAAAATAAAAATAATCTACTCTTTTCTATCGTCCATTGAGCATTTCATGGGCTATTTAGTGTATATGTTTCTTCAGATTCACGATATACGTAGACGAGATCCCGTAACTACTTTACAAAATGCATACCAGATTACAGCTGTAACTTTTAATGACACAGCTGAGCAAGTCATTGGAGGAGGAATCGATAACGATATTAAGGTAATTTTGCGGAAGTTTTGAGTTTTCGAACAAATTGCAATAAATGACCGTTTGAGTACTTCGTCAATTTTTAATTGACGTATTTTTGATAAATTACTTAACAACTTTTATTTGAATTTTAGGTATGGGATTTGCGACGAAATGAACTGGCATATGTAATGCGTGGTCATACTGACACGGTTACTGGTTTATCATTAAGTCCGGAAGGAACACATGTCCTCTCGAATGCAATGGATTGCAGTTGTAATTTGTTTTGCTATTTCTTTCGTTGTACCATTGTTTTGCTTCATCTTTCTTTTACATAGGGAATGAAGCATTTAAGTTTTGTTACATAGTAAAAATATTGCTTAGGAGCTTGAACAGAGAAAGGGAGAGAGTGACATTTTCAAACGTTAACGGACAAAGAATTCCACACTTTACTAATGCAGGAGAAATCTGGAATTCTGTAGTTAGATATACTCGGCCTTTTGAGCTCTGAAAACGTTGCTTATTCCTATTAGTTAAGTGGTGAGCTGTTTTTATTTTACCTGGTAAGGCATCATCAAAATATTACTATATGTATCGAGGGGAAGAATGACAAATTTGAAATAAATTACGATTATTTCAGCGAAAATCTGGGATATTAGACCGTTTGCACCGGAACAGCGATGCGTGAAATCGTTTGCTGGACATCAGCATAACTTTGAAAAGGTTCGTTTTTTTGTTGCTGTGATGACTTTCCATTTATCTTATAATATTAACCAACTTTGTAGTAAATTCCAGTTGTTTAACTAGAATGTCAACAAATAGTACACATTGTACTCATTTTAAGTGCTTGATTCTAGTTCGTTTTAAAATTTTAAACAAGATAGTGACTTCTGCAAAATTTGTAATTTGCTTTTGCAGAATCTGTTGAAATGCGCCTGGTCGCCTGATAATCATCGTATTAGCTGCGGTTCCAGCGATCGCTATGTTTACGTTTGGGATGTCTCATCGCGGCGAGTACTTTACAAATTGCCTGGCCATCAAGGATCGGTTAATGCGACTGATTTTCATCCAAAGGAGCCAATATGTGAGTGTTTTTCTATGATATGTGTATCGTTTTTCTAAATTTTACTCTGCAGTGTTGAGTGAGTTTAATCATTTTAAATGTATATTTTGTTTATGAAAAGAGAATGACGAGATGATTTATAAATTTGAAGACTGTTTGTTTTTGTGATAGCTCTAGAAGATAAAACTGTCTAGTCCATCGTTAATCCAATGATGCTGAAGATTTTTAAATGCTGTATAGGACGGCTTAGTGACCAAAATATCTAAATATTTATTGTAAGTTATCGGTTTGTTCTGTGGTATTTGGACTCTTCTAATTTCAGTGTTGTCAGCGGGAAGTGATAAGAAAATATACTTGGGAGAGATTGATAATCAGTGATCTCATCATCTTATTGCTTATTGCTCTTCTTATATTGTTATTTAGCAACCTTTACTTCTTAAATTGATAATACATATTTTTGAAGCTTATCACATTATTTATGATAAAAATACATCGACTTTTGTCGAATTCTGGAAGTGTCTATTTGGTGAGTATACCTTTTACATAAACCAAATTTTAATAAAGATTTTTTTAGTCCTTTTAATTTTTTACACTTTGAATATTTCTTAGTAATGAAAAGTTTTTATGAAAAATAATTTCACTACATTCAAAAGTTATTATGCATGAAAGCTTATTTGCAAAAATTGTAAAGATATCTTTCTGAAAAATAAAATTTAAATATTTGTCAAAGATTACTGAAGTGTATTGTGCAATTTCTAAGATATATTTACTGAGATTCATTGTTATGGCAGGATGTACAAATGCTAGCTTTGATGTTAGTTGATTAGTTTGATTTAATTGACATCTCGCAACATAATCATGTAGATGAGTGGAATGGAACAATCTTATCTGCAAAATTTTGTTTTCATCTCCTGTATAAGTATATTTAATGTATTCCAATATGTTTACGCGAACATATTGTATTGATAATGCGATGATGAAGTGTAAATTTTGTTTTGATTAGAATTTAAGCATATAACATCCACGATCATTTATATTTAGCTGAACATTAAAAGAATAATTAGGAAATGGTCGTCGTGGCACATTTCTTTTACTTATCAAAACTAATGAAGCAACGATGGATAATATAATGAATTAGCTTTCTATTTATTCCTGTTTATGTCATACGAATTTTAGAATAACATGAGTAGGAAAATTGGCGTCCTTAAACAAAATGCCAAAGTATTCATTTCACGATCGCAAAATATCTTCGAGAATTTAGCATTTGAGGAATGGTTGCTCCGAAATTATAAATCCGATGAGGAAGATGAATCATTGTTAATTTGGAGGTATATTTTGCTGTGATAAAGATTCAGTGGTGAAATCTCAAAAGAGTTTTGTAATAAAAAATTTAAGACAGATTTCATTTGGTTAGAACTGATAATTTTGATAGTTTGGACTTTGCAATCAACTAAAGAGCGGAGTCAGCATAAGACAGTATTCCCCTTGATTGATTTTAATTATTCGGAAATAATTACCAGTTATGTTCCACTATCGTTCATCCTCTCTTTTTTCAAATTGGAGATTAATTACTGTTTGCTATAAATTTATTCATTTCATGGATTAGTGATACCGGTATTTACAATAAATTTTTAGCAACAAACCAGCAGTAGTTATTGGACGACATCAGAATCCATGGCTAGAAGCGGATTTGAACTATCTAAAATCTAACAATATCGAATTAGCTAGACGTCATAGTGGTGGTGGAGCTGTTTACCACGATTTGGGTTAGATATTCAGAGTTAACTGTTAATGTTTGAAAAATTACTTTGTATATTCGCTTCATATTAATCCAGTACTATGTTATATATTACATTGCTTTCAGGTAATCTTAATATATCCATATTGACATCACAACAAAGGCATGATAGAAAAACAAATTTACGCATGATAGCTGAAGCACTCAGCCAAGAATTCAATATCAAAGTATTTTTCTTCTTCGAAACAGTGATGAATTTAGAGGGATTATGAATTCAGAAAGAGTTCAGAATAAAGAATATGAGGAAAAGTTAAATTAAAAAACGCATGAGGAGATCAGTGTGAGATATAATTCAAGCTAATTAATCACCGCTACAAGTTATGCTTTTATCGTGATCGTTTCCTTCCTTTTATATCATGTTTTAAATTTGAAATATCAGCATATTTGTTCAGGTAGAGCCGAATAATCGCGATGATCTATGGCTGCAACCTGGCCAACGGAAAATCTCTGGAACAGCAGCACGAATTGTTCGTCAAGTAGCCTATCATCATTTGACATTACTTGTAAATGTTGATATTGCTATTTTAAAACGTTCTTTATCGTCTCCTTTTCGCGTAAGTTTCTTTTTTTTTTGCATTGAAAAGTTTTGAAATGCTAACTGAAGTTTTTATTTCATATTGAGCCCACTCCCTCTATTTCAGTTTTCATATTTCAAGAGTTAAAAATAACATATTTAGTCATGCACATCACTGTAGGCATTTTGTACTTAATAATCCATCTTTGTAGAGAAATCAAAGTCCAGTTTAATGGAGCCATTACGTCATAATAAAAATAATACATATCGGAAGTTGGAATGTTTTAAATAACACTATTTAAGGAAACAATATTAACAAATGCTACTCGAAGTGTACGAGCACCATCGGTTGGCTATTTATCCCATGAAATTCCTAATATTACAGTTGAAAAAGTGCAAAATGTTGTTATGGAATCATTCAAGAAACAATATTTGGTCAGGCATATATATTTTAAGATTTTATATGTAGACGTTTTCATTACCATCTTAAGAGACATTTATCAGTTTTCGCAATTTTAGCTCCACTTCGAAATAAAATTTGTTTGAGATTTGTTCTTTCAGCATACCGAAGTAATTACGTTATCAAACGTAACAAATAACGAGCAATTTCCGGGTGTACTGGAATGCGAAAAAGAGTTACGAAACTGGGAATGGATTTATGGAAGAACACCACAATTCACTCTACCACTTTACGGCGATCGAATACGAGTGGAACATGGTATAATCACTCAAAGTTTGAAGAATCAAAAATTGATGGGTAAACGACTGTTGGAAAATGTAGCACACACCTATTTAGGTTTTGCTGTTAAACCTATTTTTGCAATTGACACAAGCAAATACCTGGCCGAAATGAAGGCTTATTTATGTGAAATTCCTGAAGGTTACGATCCGAAACTTATTGCCTTAAATGCTACCGTAGTTGCTGCTCTTTTCGGTGCTTTAATCTATCCATTTTATGCGTACTTGATAATGTAATTGAAAGGAAACAAATTATTTAAAAGATTTGTCCCATTATTTTTATGTAAGAATTCATTTTTTGTTCCGGAATATGTATATTTCATACTTTGAATATACTCAAAATTCGCATGAACGCACAAAGCTGTTCAGATAAATTTAAGCACAGATTTGTCAGGGCCAAAAATTGAAACACATTCTAAAAAAATACTACGTTTAAAGCTAATGAAATCATACACAAATGAAATGCAGGAATATAAAATATCACAAGCACTTGTCTTTCTAAGACATCCTAAAGAGCTTTTTAGAACTTAAATTGTTCATATTATCCATAATTATAATCCATGTTTGGATGTCAATTAATTCAGAATAAATAATATCATGCTTACTGAGAGACAAATCATATCACGATCGAATCAACTGTTAGTTAAATGGCCAGAATTAAGAGTCTCAGTAAACTTACTGTTGCTATTTTAAATTATTGATATCTGTAATTTCATAAGATCTAAGTCACAGTTAGTTGCTCAAATGCTATACTAATTTCTCCATATTGTTTTGCACTTATTGTTATCTCATTATCCGTCTCATTTTCTTGTCATCATTTTTATTATCTCTCAAAAAAATAATTAAAATGAACACTGTCATTATTTGATAAAATTATCAAAATTCCCAAAAAATTCAGTAACCACAACCTTTCCTTAAGAACGTAAATGCCTTAAATATATTAATCAAATTATAAGAAAATGGAATCTCAACACTGTTCGTCACGAAACGATAGTAGAGACATGCAATATTTGAAATAAATGTCTACTCACGGAACGGAATCATAAAATAATCATTTTCCCCGAAATCCACTAAAAATGGTTGTATGAAAATGCAAACACATAAGTAAAGGATAAAAATCTTACTCATTACTTAACTGCACAAATAAAAAAGTCATAAAACATAAATCAGAATGAAATTGTGAAATGAGGCTTAACACCAACGAAAAAGAATGAAAAATAAGAAATCACTCATTGAGGGGCAGTCTTCATCACAGCATCCTCTTTTTGAAGTTAATATATTAAATGTCGTAAGCTTAAACTAGTACAAAATGGTGTAATAATGCCACGTGTACAAAAGTAAAAGATTAGTCCGCAAAAGATTGAAATCGGAAGAGCTGGTAGTGCTTTGCGGAATACAGCCAACAATATCAGCGTGAAACATAAACCCTGGAAAATGCATAATTGTTACGTTTCTGCTGTAGAATTTAAAACCATGTATAAATAGATTCATAAACTTGGGAAGAATTCCACAAAGTTGAACAAAAGTCTTTAAGTTCAAAAGAAATGCATCCTTGCAATGGTTACAATAATATTTGAAGAATTTAGTTTTAAGATATGAGATGCAACTGTACAATAATCAAAGTCATATCCGGTTTTTCCGTATGTACGTCCACTAACACAGGCAATGTTTTCGTGAAGCTTGTATAATTTAACGGGCTTTCTTAAAGTAATTTGTCTCCACATATATGCCTGATATATTTGAAGGCGAAATAGTCATAAAACATGATTCATAAATACAAATAACTTACAATAAGAATTGCAACATAGCAAGCTATTGTTGTATTCCAATCACCATAACTACTTGCTTTTCCAACCAACACACTGTAGAAGATAAAATCACCTAGACCAAGCTTGATGCCTTCTAAAAAAAGTTCTTGTGAACTAATACATTGAGATAAAAAAAATTCTCGAACAACTTGTCCAAGTCAATGGGGATTTTGGACTAATAAATAACTAATTTATGTGTCTAATAATACTTGAATAATACTTGAAGTACTCATAGAAAAAACAATTATGGCTTCTGCTTTATTTAAGGCTCAGTGAGATAAAATAATCAAACTTACAAGAAAAATTGGTTCTGATCTGTGATTCATTCTTAAGTATAATTTTAAACAAATATTTAAATATGAAAATTAATAACAATTGGTTTCCATATATTAAATTCAGGGAATTTCTTACTTTCATCAGGAAATCTTGGATTCTGCAGGCCACCTGGATCAGCTCCAACATTACTAACGGCTATCCTTTGTGTTCTACTACTTTCACCAACCTCATTGAGTGATGCCCGATCTTTTCCAACATTTTTCAAACTGAAAGCAAACTGCTCCTTCTCAGTCAAACTGATTCGTATACTCCCATTCCTTTCATCCAAAAACCTTTTCAAGAGAAAAATTATTCTAAATTTCTATCTGAAGAAAATTAATAATAACATACTTATTGTTTATTTGTTCTTCTGTGTTCAGGCCAGCATTTGCAACACCCTGATCTAAAAATTGAAAGAACCTTACTAAGGAAGGCACAGATAGTAGAAAATTTCATTTATTTTGCCAATACTGCATTGATGTGTACATATTCTAATCTATTAGATGGACTCGAGAAAATAACATCTGATGCACCTTTCATTATTAAACGATAGGCATTAAAATCGTTACACCGTGGAGTGTAAAATTAAATTTAAATAATGAAAAGAACTTCTACAAATAGAAATGGAGGATCTAACTAAAATGAAAGATCTCACACCTGTACCACTGGTAGCACGCGTCGGAGCAAATCGTCGTATGATCTTTCCCTGTGAAAATCCTCGCTTTTCATTACCACCATTCGATGGAAGTAACTCAGCCGTTGATGGCAGTGAATTTTCTGCTGAACTGGCTGAGCTTCCTAGTAATATAAATAATGTATCAAGTTCATTTGAATGACCAAAATTAATTTTAAAAAAAAAAAGATCCCGATATTTCATGCAAGTCAGCATATCGGATAATATAAATGTTATTCTTGAAGAATATGAATATAAAACAGAAAACATACCAGGATTACCAGAATTCGATTGAGCGTTTCCTGCAACACATGAAGTATCATTATCTTCAGTATCATCCTCCATCATAGCTGCGCCAATCAATGTGTATGCATAAAGCAGACCAGCTCAAAATAAAAATAATTTAAGAAAAATCTAAACCACAACTTACTCCTAGTATCACAATAGTTCTAAAGAATAACGATTTGAAATTTGATATCAAACAATGTAAGCAACTTGCTAGCTATCCTAATCTAATGTTTTAAATTTACATTTGAATCTATTATTTTCAATCGTAACTTTGAAAAGCGCGAAGAAATAATATCCAAAACAGCATCTTCCTCAGAACGTTATGATGCTGATGAATATCATTTGCTTTGAATTATACAACTGCTCACATATAATAAACATGCTAATCCCACAAGAACAAAAAAATGTTATTACTCAAATCTAAATGTCATTCAACAGAAACTATTCACTCCATTGGAGATAAACTGCATATAGTATGCAAGACTGATTTAGAATGATTTAAAGCTTGAAAAATTGCAATTAATTCATTTATTTTTTTTGATCTTACGGGATTAACATGGCTATTAGTTGCATCATTCCAGCAGATAATGTTCATCAACAGCATACCTTTCTAAGAAAGATGCTATTACTGATATTATTTCTTTGCGTTCTTCAAAGTTTACGATTGGAATAATAATTCCGAATGTAAATTTACTCACATGAATAAATAAGTGCTGGAAATATCGGTTCATTTCGCTCCTGAGCAGTTTCGACAAGTATTCGTAATGGTCCCTTTGGACAAAGTACAGCGATAAGATCCCAAATAGAAATAACGGCAAGAACAGTCCACACTGTCCATTCTGGTAAATATTTGATGAAAATAAGCGCCATCAGTGCTGACATCATTATTAAGTAGCCCTAAAGAATGAAAACATCGATTCTGATTACTGAAGAAGGACAAAAATAGCTCATTTATTTGGTCGGTTTTTATTAAGTAATTTATTTAAGTAAATTAAGTAAATTATTAAGTAATTATGACAAAATTACTTAATAGATGAGTTCGACAAAAAACTTTATGTTCGTACATGCCAATAAGTCTTTTACAAGGACTATCCTGTCATTTATTGTAATGAATCACCAGCTTATAGTGCAACTGGATATTAGATAAACACTATCAATCGACTGAAATGAATGATGATGCCAAAGGTTCCGTTAATCCACCAGCGTGTTAGACTTTTTAGAGATAATTTTTAATCACTACACGATACAAAAATGATAAGCCTGCCTGCTGCATTCTTAAAGGACCTTTCCAATGTATGCAAATCATTCCCATTACGCCATAATTCCAAATAAAAATAGAAATCAATATGTAATCAACCGGTATGTTGTAACTCTTGAAAACTTCTCTGAAAAATTTTTTTAATAGTCAGTTGATATTCCTGACTTCTAGTAATAGTTGAATCTTATACTGTGTCCAATTGTTGAAATTAAATTATCTATTCAATCAACCATTTTACTGAATTTCTTTAAGAATCACGCTAACTAAAATTTAATTCTTGATATTTAATGAAAGGCTTACTGTAAATACATAAATGTAAAAAGAGATAGCAATATCAGACTGCTCAATATCAACCATGCATTGATGACCTGAAATGTAAACATAACTATAATATGCAGAAATTTTGAAAAAAGTATCACCGATACAATAAAATCAATGCTAAGGGATGAATCGTAGAACAAAATTCATATTCTTTCATAATCAAAACCAAACAATAGGAGAAACCCGATAAAATCGGAATTTGTAGAGAAAAATTAATAAAACAGTCATCGTCATCACCACTCCCAAAATAATAAACGCATTTCCAAACGACATTATTAACTTTTCACTTGTACTATCAGTTTCCTTGGTAAATGGAGTGTATATTCTGAAAACACAACAAATTTACAAACAGGAATTTTTTATTTATAAGGAAATGTTTTCATAATTTAAGTGCATCACAGTGTTATTTTGCCATGTAATTACATATGATACTAAAGAAGTTTTTAATGCTAAAAAATTTAAACACTTTTACCAAATATATGAAACTTAAAAGCAAAATATATATATGAAACTTGAAAGCAAAATATCAGATTTTCTAGTGTCGAATATATATACGAAGTATACCGCTATTATATAAAATATTAAATACTTTTATGCAGCTTATAATGAGCACTGCAAAGATACTCTGCTGTATATATCAACTGATTTTGAATCTCTTAATGTATATTTATATTATTCATTTATTTATAACAATCTTACAAATATTGGCCATCTTTGCGAGTGTAATAACCAACTGTGTTCATCGTAAATATAACAAATACCATGCAAATAGAAACCGGAACAAAGAGATGAATAACGTGTTGTGCGCCATACTTGAATTCTAATTCTTCTTCATCATCGTTTGCTTCTAGAACAACTTACACATCATTTTTTTGAAATAAGAAAAGAATGAAACAAATTTAAAAAATAAGATAGTTGCATTAAACATAAACGGTAATACCGGGTCCTTTAACCAAAGATTCGCACTAAACAACTTTTTCCTCTGTGGTTTGAAACAAAAAAGCTTCTATTTATTGAAGCAAGAATTGAACCGTAATCTGATCCCAGTAAACTGATATAATTGAAATACCCGAAACGAATTTTGCTTGTCCCAATCAATCCAAACAATGCTACTAGCACGATGGCATAGGTCAAAAATAATTCAAAACTCCTTTTATACTCGACAAACAACTCTTTCCTTCTGTTTTCACTGATAAGGATATTTCATGATCACATAAAACCCCACTCAATAACAAAAAAATCACAAATTGTTATTTCATTTAGAAATATTATAAAAAAGGAAGAGAACCTGATTTATCCTAATATTCAAATTTGCTACAGTTTTCAAAATTTGAGGTAAAAAGTTCCATATAAAGACCTTGCAATTTCGATCAACAATTATCATTTTAACAAACACGTACCATTAGTTGCATTTTCAATAGTTTCAGATCTTGTAGTATCCTTTTCTTTCTGAGAATGTCGTAAAGAATTCTGTTCATTTGGCTGTAAAATTATTCAATCATTCATTTTACCATTTTATCTTTCATTTCAATTTACGGTGATTTTGTCTCGGTAAACATTCCCAACTGCAATACTTAGGGTAAAGAAGTATGAAGAAGTAGATTATACTCTAGAACAGAAAGTGGAAATGAAAATGAAATAGGAGATACTCCGAAATTTGCAGTATTTGCAATCTCACTTAGATAAAAATTGAATTTGTTTTAGAATTTTCTGGCTAACAGTTTTATAGAACCTGTACTTTCCTTTCAGAGTATTACTCTATTTGTTCCTATCAATGTCTCTAACAGTTTTATCTCATGGAGGCCGAATATAACTGCCAACTGCCAACTATACTTAAAGATTATCTTTTTAAATCGAAGTATCTCAATTTGAATAATTGAGTTAACAAAGAAATTAAGATGAAATAACTAATGAATTTGACAAATAACAAATTTGCAAATTAGTATGATGAAATGGCTAGCCTGAATTCCTGATTCCTGTCCTATTTTCGATTTATTGATTGCTTCATTCTCAATCAATTCTGACGTCGATTGCTGCGTTGATATTTCTTCGTAAACGTCTCCCATCACCTATAAAATGATTATAGCAGTGGAAACATGAATGGAAAAGCACTTTTCTCACGTTGTTGTGTCAATTACTTGAGAGGAGTGATCCAACCTATAAGCGTACAATTTATGTCTATGCGTGTATGTATTGCGCTCACGTACATAGGTATTGTAGATAATATAGTCTGAAAGTAATAAAATATGGTATAATTCATCATAAAGCGTACGATGACAGTAAGATTCAAGGCTAAAAATATCATATATATTGCTTAAGTCACATAACATTCACTAAAAGTAATATCTATAAAACGTAAGCAATACTCATCAAAGCTAATACCTCTTACTATTACTTATTTCATATCTACGCGAAGCTTCACATCCACTATTGGTTTCTTCTAATCGTCCTGAGACTGAAATATTTCATTATACCACCCCTCTGATACGCCGTGCGTTTTCGCTAATCCCCCATACTCTTTGCACTCTGCACATCTTTGTTTGTGTGACGTGTGTGACGTGTGGTCTCACGTTACAGTTATGATTGTGGGGAGTTTTATCTACTTGAATCTACTGATCGTCCGCTAAATGTGTATAACAATTACCTGTAGTTATTAAATACAGTCTAGGCAATTATCATAAAAATCATAGTAACAATTCGTAATATTTGAGCCTTGTAATTTGTCTTAAATATTTTTTTCTTCGATTTATCAATACACGTATGATTTTTTTTTTTAACACCTTTGTTAAATTCATCGCATAGTTTCATTTTTAGTAAACATTCGTTACGACATATAGTGCATTTATGAATTCACTAATCTACTCGACTTCCTTCTCCTTCCATATGATTACATTTGGAGGAATAAGTCATTTGTGTGTATGTGTATGTGTGTGTGTGTGTGTGTGTGTG